ACGCATGTAGTCAAGAATAGTCGTTTTGCCGTGATCAACATGACCCATGATAGTGACAACAGGTGGTCGTGCAGGAAGCTCAGCGTAAGCCTCAGGCTCAAGAGGTGCCGCAGGATAGAGGTCGCCATCATCTTCCTGTGCCTGGAAGATCGGTTCAAAGTTGTACTCCTGCGCGATAAGGCCAGCATGCTCCGAGTTTAAGATGTGATCATTCTGCACATCCTCAAACCCTAGCTCTTCCAACTTTCGCACAAAGTCCTCTACTCTCAACCTAAGAGCACTCGCAAGGTTGGCCACGCTGATGTACTCTGGTAAGGAGATCGGGGTAGGACCGGCCTTTGCCGATTGCGCTGCTTTCTTCGCCTCAGCCCGTAAACGCTTGCGTTCTTGCTTGCTGACGTGTGGCCGGTCTTCATCCTCCTCCTCGTCCCGTTGTATGCGTCGGCTCCTACCCTTGTTTCCGCCCTGTCTTCGCGCGGGCTCTTCGTATCGGTTCTTGGACTCTTCCGGGTCGTCAAAGGCAAAGCGACTTCGCCTTCTCTCACTATCCACGTCGTTGCGTCGCCTGTTATCCTCTTCTATCTGCCATCTGGCAGACTGTTCGATGTCCAAATTGCCTTTCGACTTCTGCGCCCAGGCTTCTGCAGCATCCGATATCGATTCCTTGTAACGTTGCGGTGGTGTATACATGGCCGTTTTCTGTGGCGGTTGTTCCTGCCGTGGAGGCTCACGGAGTACCGGCTTCGATGGACACATGTTGCTCGCGTGATCCTTCGATCCGCAGTGGAAACATGTCCTCTGCGCGTTCATGTCCCTTGCAAGTGGTGTGTAAGGTTTCGAGGAATTTGAGGCCGCGTTACCCAACAACTTTGATATCTCGTCTTGATCCAGCATCTTTCTTTGCGGTGCAGGTCTGGGAGCCTGCGGTGATCTTCGGTCGTCTAATCCGAACGGGGAGCGTTCGGGCTGTGGGTCGTTCCGCCGTCTAAGGTGACCTGAGGCAAATGCCGGGGTGTTGACTTGTGGTCTCGAGTCCATATTGACGTTATAGCGATTCTGTGGTGGAGGCCGGTAGTCATTGCCACGCTCGTTGCCGGCCGTCCTCCGCATGCCAGGTGTGAAGCGGTCTCTGCTCTGATTCCGCCCAGACCCATCGAAAGGGCCGCCTCTGTTCGTCGCGCGCCGCTCTGGTGGGAATTGCCGTGATGCTTGGGATTGGGAAGATGGAGGCGCTTGTGCCAACGATGCCCTCATCCTCTCTGCCGGCGACATGAATGCTCCCTGTGCTTGCGGCTGAGGGGCGCTGGCAGCCAGCGCCTGCCGCATGCGCTGTGCCTGCGACATTGGCTCCTTGCGCTCATTGGCATCTTTGTATAGGATGGCCTCGGCCGATTGCGGAGCTCTGCTAGACGAGTTGAGTTGCCGTCGTTGTGTAGCGTTGGATGATGATGTAGCGAGCGGGTTCGAGACGGCCAATTGACGAGTGGCGCAGAAGATGCAAACGTCGCGGGTGGAAGAAGCCTGCCATTGTTAGTCAGAATATGTTTGTTGATAATTGGTTTTGCTTTTCCTCACCCGAAGTCCACGCGCTCTCCGCATATTGGGCGATGTGGTGCGTGTTGGTTCCGAAGATGTTGGAGTGCATCAAAAGTTTGGAAATGTCCCGCCGACGGATCCTTGCCTCGCCCGTCGGTCCTAGCGCAGCGCCACAGTCTGGGGGATTGGCCACGTTTTGCAGCTGCACGCTTCGACTTGGAATTGAAATCACGCACGCGATGATTTTGGCATCGAGAGGTACAACCATCAGGGTGGGAAGAGCATTCAGCCCAACGAGCAATACACAAGTCCAACTGCAGAAGTGTCGAGACACTTCGTACAATCTCGTCGCATCGTTCAATAGAGGTATGGAAGGATAACATCTCATAATCATAACGCAACATGTCTACAACCAGATTACTCCTTGGCTTCTTTCAACCTTAACTTAACGCCATCCGCGGGGCACGTCGTCAAGCTCAGCCCGTTCCTAACATATCCCATACCACCCTTCTCCTTCGGTTCCCAAGTGTTGCCAACCCCCTCAATGGCCTCAAACCTCTGCATCAACCTTACGACGACATATCCAGCTTCTGTCAGAGCAAATTGCTGCCCGATGCAAATCCTTGGGCCGCCGTTGAAAGGAAGATACTCCCACCCACTCTTCCTTCCATTCCAGCGCTCGGGCCGGAATTCCTCGGCGTCGGGACCCCAAAGATCAGCACGACGGTGCATGATGTATACACTGTAGTCTATTTGCATGCCCTTCTTGACGTAGAGAGGCGCTGTGCCATCTGGACCACCGCCCACAGGCAGCGTAGAGTCTTTGAGGGCACGGCGGCCGTCAACAGGGACGACAGGGTAAAGACGCAGAGTCTCGTTCAAAACCCACTGCAAATAATTGCACGACTTCAGCGACTCGAAAGTAATGTTCTTGGGGTTCGAATAGGTGCCAAAAGTCTCCAATACGACGCTGCGTAGGGCGTTGTAGACTTCCGGGTGCTCTGAAAGGAGCATGAAGACGTACGACAGTAGCGATGCTGTGGTGTCGCGACCGGCTAGTAGAATTGATATCAAGTGTTCTCGAAGCTCGATGGGGTTACGGGTAGACTCTGCAAGTCCATCAAGGAAGACATATTTTTGCTTGCCATGTGACTTCTCCTGGGTAGTACCCTTCTCCTTTGACAATGCGAGTTGGACGTAGTGGTCAATGAACTCATGGCAGCGTTTGCAGTGGTCTTTGAACGTCTTATCGTATACGAGCCAGTAGGCTTCTCCAAGGCGGCTAGCTTGGGCGATGGTGTTCTGCGCCTGGTCGAAAGAGGTGGCAAAGTCTTGTTCGTTAACAGCCATTGGAGGCTTACTAGACTTGTAGTCGGGTAGGGATGCAAGCTGAGAGTCCACGCTCTCGCCAAAAAGGAACTCTGTGGCGCTGTCGAGAGTCAGGCGGAAGAAAAGTGGCTTGAGGTCCGTGACATCTGTCCAGCCGTCTGAGTTGGTAGGCAGTACGCGCATCATGTTCTTCATATGTTCTTCCTCAAGGTCCAAGTCGCTGACTTGGTCGCGAGCGAACTGTGGCCGAAGGAGTGACCTCGCATGCGCCCATTGCTCGCCGTCGCTGGAAAACTGCGACATGTCAGCGTCTAACGTTCTTGTCGCATCCCCGACAATAGTACTTACAATGCCATGGCCGAGTAGTGGAGCAAAGTTCCCGTTTCGCCTTTCTCCTAATCCGTAGTCCTTGAATTGCGTGGCCAGTATAGCCTGGATGTTCCTTGGTTCCACTGTGAAGTATCCCTCTGCGCCCATGATTTTTTGATGGAATGTGTTGATGATCTTGCCTTCCCTGGCGCACGCATCATCAACGCGATCTTTCAAGTACTGCGGTATACGGAATTGTTTGTCCGCCTTCATTATTCTCGCAACATTTTGGAGTCCAAGAGGATCGAATGGAGACTGCTTAGTCTCAGGGGCAGGCAAGCAGCCCAATTGACGTGCTCTAGCATCATGGCGGCGCGAGATGATGATCGAGGAGATGATCTTGTAGAGGACAAAAGAAATGCCAGCCCAAGCGGTTAAGAGGATTGAGTTGTGCATGTTGGTAACAGAACTATGTGAGGTGAACACGCAGCCGTGGCAGCTTTTGTCTGTTGGGGAGAAGCAGCTTCTCGAGAAGAATGGACCCGTTTAAGTATCTGGGTATAGAACTTGATCGCACTACCAACGCGCCAGGGTCCCTGTGGCGCTTCCGCTGCAACAGCCATTCACGTAAACTGCCGCAAGGATAAAGAGGAGCCAGACCCACGGGGCGTACACATGTTCACGGCCCTTAGTTCCTCGGGACCGTCATTGCGCCCTGCTCGCACACGGGAGCGGATAGTTATGGCCTCCGAGTTCTTTTTTGAGCACTGCGGGTATTCTGCTTCGTGTTTACAGGCTCTGCTGTCCATGGAAATGCCACGCGTTCCCCGCATTTTGCATCGGACATCTTGGCTCTGGCGAAGTCGTACTTTCTACTCGGACGAATTCTGTCCATTTCTCGCGTGCAACACGCCTCGGTAATTATGGTTGTGCGACCGTTGCGTCGGAGGCTAGAGAGCTAAGGCGGGTCGCTTAGGAGTAAAGTGCCATCTTTTACAATGAAATAGATCCACATGCCGCATTTCTTGATAATTCGATAAGCCGTGTGTCTAGACGCCTGTCTCGTACGGGAACGCGCAGCAGCAGTGCTTGTGGTTGTACTGGAGAAGGAGGCTACAGCCTGCAGGCGTGCGAGTTTTGCGCGCATCTGAATGCCAAGGAGTCCGAAGCTGGTGAAACTTGCGAGATGCCACCAAGAAGACAGGCCGTTCTCGACGCGCGTGGTCGCTTGTTCCCGATGGGGGGAGGTTTTTGCTTCCCGATAACACCTAGGCAGCCATCGCAGGAATCTTCGATAAACAGCGTGTAGCCGCTTGACCATGTGCCAGCAGTCCAGTCGTTAACGTCCGTTTTTTGCTCGTTCCCGGTAGTCTCCTCCGCTTTGAGGAGCTGCCCAATTGGGCGGTGCAGGATACCCGCTGTCCTTGATCGTGCAAATGCTACGACAAGATGTTCTGTTAGCAAAGTCAAAGATCGCAACAGTGTTGCAGGCAGCTGAAGTCATGATACCCTTCGATCTTATGTGTACGTTGGGCGCTCAATCCAAACGCGGCCTAGTGATCCCGGAATAGTTCCGTGCTGCCCAGGTGGTGAGTCGCCTTCAGTCGTGACTCCCTCACTCCAACCATGGTAATGACGACCACTCTACCAGTTGAGACTGAAGCTGCGAGTCACACCAAAACCATGAAACGTGATGTGAAAGAATCCTGAACCCCATAACTAGCCGACTTTGGTGCCCAAAGTACCACCTTGCGCACGCGCCCTGCACCATTGCGCATCGCACTACGCAAATCACCCTTCGAGGACTCTACTTCAGCTATACAGCTATGGATTCTGGTTGGGATGAGCTGGAGCGCATGGCGCATGCAGCATCAGCCTCTGACGCCCAGATTGCTTCCCAATACCCGACACAGGACACTATCGAGCGCTGGATGCGACTCTTTGGATATTCCCGAATCGAAGCTGTCCGTCTAATCAGTGATCAGCGCGGAGACGGTTAGTGATAATATTTCTTCCTGATTGTCAAAGTTGAAATTGCCACGTACTGATGCATCTCTACAGTCACCCGGGAGCGAATCACCGACGATCACTGGGAGCTTGTTCGAACCGAAAAGGAAGATCTAGGCTACGATCGTGAGGCTTATGAGCACAATCTGTCACTTCTCAAAGTCTTCAAGAGTCAAAGCGCGTTCATACCAACTCCCGGAGCCGACGGGGAAATGATGCTTCTCTTCAGATTGGGTGGACTATTGAACACGGCAGAGAAAGTGAAGGAAGTTGCCGGTCTGAATAGTGTACCCGTCGAACATGACGGAATGAGCGAGATGGGTCCCGTCAAATTCTGTTTGGTGAACAAAGACGCACAGAAGAAACTTGAGGAATGGCTCACGCAGCAATCCGTCCTCCAGCGATAGCTGCGACTTTGACGGGGGTATGCGACGGAGAATCAGTGCTAGTCAGTATTGCAACCATCTCATCAGCCGCGTGGGAACAGCTGTACCATGCGCTCATGAACAGGTCGCTGAATGCAACACAATCAAATCCATCTAAGACCGACTGCGGCTGGAACAGCCACCCTGTTTGAAAAGGAGAATCTCGATATTTGCCTCCCACACTGGACAACAGAAATCACGTCCCGTCGACATTATCTTCGGATTCTGCTAACTTTGTTTTCCATGCTTATGTAGACTGCAGCGCACCGGTTCAACTACTTCCGGGTACGAGGTGTAGCGACTCACTAGTCCTCACATAAGAATAAAGCGGATCCGAGGGAGTGCAGCGACTGATGGGCTGATGCTCCTTCCGATCTTGTGTTGTACACTTGCCGGAAGGGGTGTAAAGCCACCTTACCGATGGACAGCCCAGCCCGAGCATGAAATCCTCGAATGAACAGCGGCATGTAACGTAAACATGCCGACCACAACCAATTCCCAGAATAGCGACATCATCACTAAGCACAGTCTGTGGGCAACTCGGCGAATCAGGATCAGCTCAGCCACGACCACGATACCGCTTACGGTCAACCGCAGCCACAAGCGGCACGTCATCAGCACTGCAGTTCAGCTGTGCTGATACATTACGGCGCGATCGGCGGAACTATCAATCGACTAATGTTTGGAGCTGGAGGAGCTGAGGCTGCTGATGTAACAACACGGAGATCACCACGAAGATCTCGGTACAAATTGGGAAACCCCCATGTCCAACTTGAAAGCCACCCCAAGTATCTACATGACTTCCGACATGTTGTAAAAGGGACACACGAAATCCTTTGTTGCGTTTAACAAATATTCAATGACTGCGCATACATACTATGCCTCAACGCCCCTCGCAGGAGCAAGACCTACAACACTTGCTACCATCGACCATGACTTCTTCCAAGTTCTCATCTAACAGACCGATACCTGCTATCACTCTCCAACTGGCTACCGACGATCATAGCGTACAGTACAGTCAAGCGCTACCTCATGGCGATTTCGAGGAGCTCAAAGAAGCGGCAAGCGAAGACAGGGTACGACCTCAACAAAGAAGTGCTGTATGTAAGCGAGCATCAGTGGTACTAACATATACACCAGGACCTCAAGATACGTATCCGGAAGTTACGCGTTATATCGCGTACCCTCGCCCTTTTTATCTCTATCGCAGTTCTCGTCCTCACAGCTCTTACCCTGCACAAATTTCTCAGCACACGCAGCATCCACCGCGTTGTCCGACTTCCCAACGGCGAGAATATCCTACGCACGCCCTGGGCGAAGAACACACGGGCATGGCCAACGTACATGTATTTTGGCGTCGCAGCCGTCTCTGTAATACTCAACTTCGCAACGATCTTTTCGTACAAGTGTGGCATTGAACAGGCTAATGTAGCCGCTGTTGTCACGAGTACCTTTAGCTGGGTCAACATGCTGGGGAACTTTATTGTGTGGTGTGTAGCTGCTACTGTGTATCGCACCGAGAAGGATAAAGATGGGAAGAGCGATGATCTTTGGGGCTGGACTTGTAGTTCAGGTGCGAGGGCGATTCAGAACGAGTTTGCGGGTGATGTCGACTACGACAGCTATTGTAATGTGCAGGTAAGTGGATGATCTGAAGGGTTCGGGGGAAGGGCTTGCTAACGCAGTGTGCAGAGTGCGAGTTGGTATGTTGGTATTGTGCAGGCCTGTGCTGCATTACTGACTGTGGTAATCTTTGTGCTGGTTTTTAGGAGGAGGAAGACGAAGAAGGCGGTGGAGCAGAGGCTGAAAATGCATGGCCTCGAGCCGAGTAGATGTTGACCGGGAGGACCTCCGCCGCACAGAAGGCGAACACAAAACAACAACCAGCCCACCGCCAGGTACTAGCCTTACGTACCATTTGATACCCACCACGAGAGTCTAGGATATAATCCCGTTACCCCAAACGACCGCACTCAGCCACCTTCGGCCCCGAACCCGTCTCCCAAGTTCTGCGCACTCATGGTGTATTCATACCCACTTCATCCCATCTTCTACAGTCTACGCTAGTCTCCATCACGTTCAGATAGCGTACCTGCATGCACCGACCTCGCGAACCACTCCCTGAAGTCCCTGCTTACCAAAACAAGCGGGACCCTTTTCCAAGAACGGACAACAACATGCGCACTTGATCGTTCACGTCCAAGGAACGACCAGCCCGAAAGGTATTAAGACAGGCTGTAAACAACGCTTGAGATGCATGCAAGTATCGCAGATCCCACATGGAAAGGTTGGGTAAGAAAGGAGGTGGATGGGGGCATGGGGCAACGACGCGCGAGAGGGCATGTTTAAGAGCGGATAAGAAGCCGCCGTAACCAGTATCCAGAAACACACCACATAATAAATTTGTTTACTACAACTGTTACTGAAGTGTAGTGGTGCGAATCATGCTGGTATGTTAGAGAAGAACAGAAGTGACATGAGGATATTTTTCATGAGACTGACAGTACAAACAGTACGCACGATTTTTACCAACCTGGCTATGCGCCGCCGTCTTTCTACTCACTGCTGTCGCTTCTTCTCAGGAGACGCAAGGCGATTGCGATCGAGAATGTTTGCAACGCAGGGTTGAGAAGCTCGAGCAAGAGTATGCGAAACTAGAGCAAGCTCTGGTAAGTCAAGCTCAATCTACTTCTGTGGAGTTCATCATGCTGATAGCGGAACAGTTTCCTGGTGGCTATGCTTATTCTCCGACTACAGCTCAGTCGTACTTCCCAACATCGGCCCTCTCTACCGCGACTCCAAGCTCATCAAGCGAATACTACACCACCTTTGGCACATCTGGTCTCCCTCAAAGCTCATTGTACAGCTTCGTTATTTCCTCATCATCCATCCCAACATCTGTCGTCTCCACCGCACCGCCGAGCTCGTCAAGCGAATACTATGCTAGCTTTAGCACATCCGGTCTACCTCAAAGCTCAACCTCTACCTGGGTTGTGTCCTTCTCAACCATAGTCACCAGCTATGTGACCACGCAGCCCTCGGTCTCAGCCTCTACTTTTACTGTTCCCTCTTCATCCATAGTCAAAAGCTATGCGACCACGCAGCCCTCAGTATCAGCCACGCCTTCATACGCCATACCCCCACCAGAGCCCACAGCAAGCGATACACCACCCGTACCCACATACGCCAACATTTCCACCCACTCCGGCTACCGCTCAGTAGCCTACTACGGAAATTGGGACATCTACGCCCGAGACTTCCAGCCCCAGCAGATACCCGCAGAGCGACTAACGCACCTGCTCTACTCCTTCGCCGACAACAAGCCCGACGGTACCGTCTTCCTCACCGACACGTACGCCGATGCGGAGAAGCACTACTCCACCGATTCCTGGAACGATGTGGGCAACAATGTTTATGGATCGATCAAGCAACTTCAGATCCTCAAGGCCAAGAACAGGAACTTGAAGGTGTTGCTCAGTGTAGGTGGTTGGACGTATACAAACGTTGCCAAGCACATGGATGGACCTATGGCTACGGCTGCGGGGAGGCAACGCTTTGCGTCGTCTTGTGTGGAGTTGATCCGCGACTATGGCTTCGATGGCATTGATGTGGATTGGGAGTATCCTACAGACAAAGAGCAAGGCAAACAGTTGCTTGCACTGCTGAAGGAGGTCAGAGGGCAGATGGACGAGTATGCTGATACGCTTGCCTACAGAGATGAGTCTGGACGCGAGCTAAAGCCCAAGTTTCTCTTGACTATTGCTTCGCCAGCCGGGGAGAAGAACTACAAGCATCTGCCCTTAAAAGAGATCAGTGCAGTCACAGACTTTATCAATCTGATGGTAATTATTGGCGTCTCCAGATGCAGTAACAAATAAACTAACGCGAAAATAGGCATACGACTACGCTGGCTCCTGGGATAACCAAACTGGTCACCAATCGAACCTTTACCCGTCGACCTCGACTCCCCTGAGCACGCCCTTCAATACAGCTTCAGTTCTGGCCGCCTACAGCGCCGCGGGCGTTCCTTCCTCCAAGCTCAATCTTGGCATGCCTCTCTATGGTCGCTCCTTCACAAACACTCAAGGTTTAGGGACGTCGTTTAGTGGAATCGGCACTGGATCATTCGAGCGAGGCGTCTACGACTTCAAGGACTTGCCCCTTGCAGGTGCACAAGAGTACTATGATGAAGAAGCTGGCGCAACATACAGCTATGACGAAGCGAGTGGCGAGTTCGTCAGCTATGATACTGTGGCCATGGCGCTCAAGAAGGTCGACTACATTGCGGAACAGGGGTTGGGTGGCGCAATGTGGTGGGAGATCAGCGGTGACAGGACAGATGACAGCGGGAGCATCGTGACAAATGTGAGTCATGGGCGCCTGATAGTGGAGACGATTTTGCTAACGTATAAAGGTTGTCGAGAAGATGGGCGGCGGGAGTGGTGCAGGCATCGAGTCATCGCCCAATTGGCTGCTGTATCCCGACTCCAAGTTCGACAACATGAGGAATGGCGTCTTCGCGCAATAGGTCGCAGGGCGATTGCGCAGGGGATGAGTCGTTGATGCAGGTGCAGCTGTTGGCGAGCATGTCAGGTGGTGGTGCAAACCTAGAATCGCGTAAGTTATTAACGATCGCCATTGGTAAACGTTGAGATGGAGCATTGGTGGCGCGAGCATTCATGCGTTCGCATACATGTAGTAATAAAACTTGTCATATACCTTACCCTTGAGATATCTCGCTTATTGCCAAGCTGGAACATGATCTAGGGGACTGAACCCGCGTGACACAGTTGCAGCAGTGTTTGAGGCTCTGCTACCCTGGGTGTGAGCGGTAGCGCGGAAGCCATGCTGCTTCGGGCGTAGATCATCTTCGATATATTGCCAGTGCCGATATTCTACGCCGCCGTCATACTGCGATCGCCGGCCAGGGTGCTAGAAGAAGAAAAACGAGTACACGATCACGAGCACGGCGGGGGTGCTGTTGGTGATTGTCGTTGAATTTGTGTGGTGTCTGAGCGCATGAGGGCTAGGATATGCCCGCCGCGCGCATATATGCCGCCTGCCGAATGATACATACAGAACCGAACGCCCTAGCTCCATTCATGCCGCGAAGTAATAACAGTCGTACGATATAGCACCAAAATGTGCTGGAGGGTATAGCGAATCTATCAGGCACCACAATGTGCTCATTTTACTGCCTCCTGATCTCATCAGGCGAGCAGGTGTCGGCGGGCGGGAGTAAGCGCTGGTAGGATTGTTCGCCGACTATAGTTGACTCCCTGTGATTAAGGAAGGTGCGTATGCGCTCGTCGCGGTCTCCACTTGAGCTCAGAGTGGCATTCCTGCTTCGGCTGTACTCCATACTCGCCTCGCGGTGGATCTGGTCGCGCCGCTCTATGACCGAGTTGTTGAAGGTGTTGAAGCGGGTGCCCTGCACGACGCCGCCGATGCTTACAAAGGCAAAGATGAGGGCCATGAAGGTAAAGTTGGACATCTGAATCGTGCGGGCGTCCGAGTCCTTGGCGCCGCCGCCGTTCTCGTAGTGCCAGCGCTCCCAGTCCTCCCAGGTCGCATTGGTACGCGGATCGGTATTCCAGCGATGTGGATCATAGTGCCAGTCGTTATGACGGGGGGCCATGGGCATCTGGTGGTGACCGGCCCAGCCGTGGCCCCAGGCATCATACGCTTTGCGTTTCTGGACATCGGAGAGGATGTCGTGGGCGGCGACTAGCATTCGATAGCGCTCGAGACGCACGTGGAGGGGCAGCTGGGCGATGGCCGACTCGGCATGACAGCGGTCGGGGTGGTAGAGCTTGACGAGGGCATAGAAGCGGTGCTTGGTGTAGGCGTCGCCTTTCCGGCACTTCAGGATCTGGTAGGGCGTGGGCGTCTTGTGCGGCTTCACGGCGTCTGGCCACTTGAGCAGCTCTGCGTCATCGCGGTAGGCGGGCGCGTCCTGGTGTTGGGCGTAGGAGCGGCGCTGTGTTGCGGCCTCAGGACGGGCGAATCTATGACGGCATGACTTGCCCGGCTGGGGCCCTGAGCAGCTCCCCGCGTGGGAATAGTAGAGGGGACTGAGGTTAGTGTACGAGGGCAGGAGGATGGAGCACTTCTTGGGCAGCATTGTCGCGCACTGGCAGGCGTGGACGGGCGCACATCTCCAAGCTTCAGTCAGGTGTGGTGTGGGGTGCTGAGGGCTGGTGGCGTTGGCGCATGGGCGATCGCAGCAGCCCGCGGGCGAGATAGACGCGCCGGCGCCATCACTCACCCATCGGTACCTCACGCTAAGCCGCTTGCGTGCTACATGCGACACGCTGGATGCGAACAGGAGTTGGCGCAGTTGATAATTTTTCCACGGCCTCGCGCGCATTCCAGTCCTGCCCGACGCGACTGCGACGGCGCCGGCGTCTCAGCCAGGCAGCCACCATGCAGGTGCGGTCTCTTCCGCTCCCCTCCAGTTGCTCAGACCCGATGCTGGTGGAGCCTTTTGCTCCGCGACTCAGCCTGTCTGTTTGACGTGAACTCCTTCGCCTCGCTTGCGCATGCCGTGCGAACCTCCCCCTGCAGCGACACAAACTCTCGGGTCACGACGCATGAAGTCGACCCTGCATCCAGCCAGCCGCCCAATGTCTTTGTCCTCCAGGGTGGGCTAACTGTGGGGTCTAGAGGGGGCATCCTTCTGCTATAACCCGTTTGCTATCACGCCTCGAGTGCTCTCCCTCCCTCAGCTCCCTCCAGCCTTTGCTTCGTACAGTCCTTTCCGTCATTCACTTGCCTATATATCAGCCTACCGTCCATGTTGACCGCCTCCCGCCCCCTTCTGCCCACCCACAGCGCCCTGCATCAAGCCATGGCAAACACACACGACAGCAACGGACACCCCAGGGAAGGCTACCTGAACCTGACCCGGCGCATGGAGAATGAAGAGGAAGATCAGTTCGACGTCGATCTCACCATCTTAGATTTCCTCGTCTACAAGGCCATTGGCTTGGTCTTTGAGTGGAAATCGAGCAGTGATCCATATCATTCAGATTTGCCCAATGCGCTCGTCAACATGACTGCCGGTATGACCTGCGCTTGTTACGGCAATACATCACGTGCTCACGATTATCAGATTGGAGAACATTTCTTGGGCACAGACACCACGGCCGACGCCTAGATGCCAAGGCGTCATTCCGATCCCGTTTGTTGCAGTTTGCCCTGATCTTCACACATCGGCTGCATCACGACGAGACCTGGACAACCGAGGAGTCACTGAACAGTCTGCGCGAGCAGAATAAATCCCGTGGCGAGTACTGGCGGCAGCGAACTCAGCATCCTTCTGCGCTCCAGGAGCCTTTCGATCAGCAGAAGGACTTTCCTCTTTCCGATGGCGCTCTTTACGAAAATCGGTCTGCTCTTGCCTCTGCACTGAGAATGCCTGTGGATCAACGGAGGTGGGTGACCGATGTAGCAGGCACGCCCTCGCTCCACTGTTTACTCCCTGTCTTCATCGAGCTTACCGCCGCACGTGTCAATCTGGATGACGACTGGCTACCGACGTCTGAGTGGTTCGACTTGGCAGCGCAGTTCATGCTCCAGGCCATCGTCGGCGAATACCTTCGTAATGGTGCTTACGGCGACGAAGCTTTCAACACCATCTTCGCCTATGGCTGCCCCGGCGTCGAACGATGGGCCGAAGAACCAGCGGACGTGGCAGCAATGAGGAGACTCTTCTGCGCCGAAGGCAATCTTCGCGAAGAGAACTGCGAGTGGACCAGGATCAAACGCCAATACATCAACGAACTACTACCAAACGGTCGGACGCAATCAAGTCTGCAGGCGATAGAAGCAGCTCAGGAACGCTATCCATACGCCGAGTTTGAAGAGAAGCTACTATCTTTTCTCAAATATCTCCACGAAGGCCTTGTCAAGCCAGACCTCGCGCAAGTCGAGGAAGGTCGCATCAACATCGACGGTAACGAACTATCCGAAGCCGAATCACGAGCAATGATCCAGCGCATGGGGCTTTGATCGACTCTGCGTCTCCAATTACTTTCATCTCGGGCGAGTTCGGAGGAGTTTCTTCGGCGGCCTGGGTACCTATTTTTCGGCCGTCTAATCTTGTCTTTCTGTACTAGCGTAGGCCGTTCTTGTTCATACGTTTATTTCTCCAGTTTGCGAGCTATTCTTTTTCATATTGATATCACCTGTACCAAAAGTCATGTAGCTTCGCGCGTCTTGTACCATATACCCATGCCAGCTAGTTAGGCCACCGACACAGGCTTGTAGTCGGTTCAATCACACATATTTCAACATCTCGATGACTACTCCTTATCCCGTTATTCCCCATAAAAAACTCTCTTCCAATCCACTGTCACATTACTAGCGGCCCTCCTCAACCCATCGCTCCAAGCACGTCTTGTCATTGCTGCACTATGTAGGTAAGTGTCGTGGACTATACTGTAGTCCTATCTCTACCTCTTACAACACAAACGTCATCCTTACTCTCCGGCATGAAATAATGCCACCAATCGCATCTCCCATACTGCATCTCTCTATGAATCTCAAATTGATTGAATAGTGGAGTACACGGACCCACGACATGCGCACGCTTGTACCCGACGCTTGTACCCGACACTAGTCACACAAACACGCTAATGATGCTAACGCGTATGTAAATTTTGTTATCATTGTAATGGTGTGATTCTGAAGATCAAACACTCCTGATTTGATTTGGGAGAGATATAGCCTATCCTTCAACCTACTCTTACATGTCATCAAACGTTGCGGTGCCCACCCTAAAAGGCGGAGGTATATGTACAAGAAAGAACACAAACAGTAGCAGGTAAATCAGACAGCAGAGTAAACGGCAGTGCATCCCCGTCCACACTCCACCTTTTGCTCGAATTCGACTGTGCGGCCATTGACCTTGACCTTGTTCCGTGGTGTAATTTGGAAACGGTGCATCTCCTTTTCTCTTAGTTGTTTTCCAAAGCCGCCCGCAGACGCAGCCCGCTCTTGCTCGGCGGCTTGGTCAAGTGGTTGGATGTATGTCGGCGTGGCTAGATTGCTCCGCTTGCCACTGCCAATCTGGTAGTATTCGTTGTTACCCCAGAACAGGATATCGCGACCCCAGTTAGTGTCGTTGTCTGTGAGCTTCTTTGATCGGCCAGTCACAGCGACGCTGGCAACGTTGTCGAGGATAGCGGCGGCATGGGTTGAACCGACTGAGATGTTCAACAGACGTATCGGGATTGCAGTGTTCTTGGCTTCGTCCCACTCGAAGAGGCCAGAGAACGCGGGCACCTTGACAGGGTCGGCCTGCGTGTGTACCCATCGACCAACACCGAGCTGACCAGTGAGACCGAATCCAAAAGCCCATGTGTCTGCAGTAGTCTTGTTGCCTTTGGTCGCTTCGACAGCAAGGAAAGACGTGTTGCCACCAGCGAAGACGTTTGTCACCTTGCCTAGCGAACCAGAGTATAGTTTTTGTGTAGGGAGTAGAGATGGCGCATCGACGCTTTGCGCTTCGGCATTGTACGGGAAACCCAATTGTCCGGAGGTGTTGTCGCCAAAAGTGAAGGCGCGTCCTTCAGAATCACAGACTAAGCTGTGGTAGTCGCCAGTAGCAATCTTCTTGACGGGGAAGCCTTTCAGCGTAGTGACCTCGTGGGGGATGTCGAATGCGCCAGTGGGACGGCTCTCGAATGATAGACCGGGTATACCTAGTTGGCCTTTACTAGGGAAGTCTTGTGAGCCTGATGCGAAAGAGAAGACGCGGCCAGAGGAGGTGAGCATGAGCGCGTGCTCTAGCCCAGACGAGATATCCGTGACGCGCTCGCTCCATCCGAGGTTCTCGGGTGTACGGTTGCGGTATGAGATGTTGTTGGATCCGCCCCAAAAAGGGATCCATGATGTAGATGGCGGCTTTGGGCCTTCCTGCTCCGCCTGTGAAACAGGTATCGAGTATACAGAGCCACTCTTCGAAAGGCCAATAATGCGATCGCGGGAGATGGCGAGAGAGGTAAGGTTATGGCCCGTCAGAGTCTTGGTAGGCTCCTTGACATCGTTTGCGAAGGCGGTGCCCCATTGTAAAAGATCGCCCTTCTCGTCAATGGCCGCGCCGAAGTTTCTGTCGAGCTTGATGTCCCGCAATAACTTTCCATCAAAGAAAGTCAAGCGTCTTGGTGTCTTGATGTACTTCTCGTCCGAGTCGGGTGCCACGACCTTGCCCGAGTTAGAACCCCATGTGTAGACTCCAGGGTTCTCCCAACTCTTGATGACTTGAAGATGCTGCGAGCTGATGATGTTTCTGTTGTCGTCGACCGATGTTGCCTGCCGCCGTGGCGCTTCAAACTTCAGCTCTGGTTCCTCTTGCTCCTCCGCGTGCGCATCTCGTATGATCGAGTCCCCGTTGCACCATTGATATGCCGTGGCGGTAGCCCAGAGCGCGCCGACGGTGGCTATGGATCGGACGAAGTGTTGCTGTCGTCGTTGTGCATAGGGATGGGATGCTGTCCGAACGTGTGATTGCGGGGGTCTGGTCGCTATGTTCCTACATGCTCGCGGGGTATGCGGCGTTCGGAGGGTCGCGCGTGCTACACACTTTGTGCTGAGCATAGTGTGGTGTATGAGGTGGTGGGCTCGTAGTAGCAGGTGTCGTCCCGTGGGCGTCTGGTCAGATCAAGAGAGCAACATTTGCAGCACGGTCGAAGGTCCGATTACGGTTGGAGCATTGGTAATTGGACAGTTTGGATAGTTTCTCTAGATCGTAGCTGCGTGATCAATGACGCTCTAGACTTGCTCCACATTGACAGATGGTGCTAGCTCCGTTTGGGCCTAGCACGACCTGCTGGACCCCCACGAGCATCACCGAGCTCCGACATGTGGAAGCTGCGTGTCGTGTTTCCTGTCCACAACCAACAAACACACCAACCCCCGAATTGCGCCAGAATGTACGAGGCAGACTCGTGGTACACTGCCTTTGTGCCGCGCACTGCCAAGCCCCAGGAGAAGGGCAAGCACCGCCGCAGAGAGAGCCTGCTCAAACAGGAGAACGTAAGCCCACCATCCGCTGCCTGGGTACGTCTGAGCACTTCTGATGATTGTACTTGCAGGAGAGTCAGGCTGACTTCGAGCGCGCAGAGGCCATCGCGGAAACTGCAGAAGACGATCGACCCGGCAAGCTCAATGGCCCTCCACCGGCCACCGTGGCCAGACGCGCCAAGTCGTACAGCGACTTCTACACCGTCGTGCGCGCACATCTGAAGAAGGAGAGGGCACTCGAGAAGAAGAAGTCACGTGAGGACATCAGCACCGAGCTGGAGTTCGCGGACTGGTATGGCGGCGTCAGCGATGAGCTGCTCGAAGCCAGCCACGAGGAGTACAGGCTCTACCAGAACCAACTACACATCACGCGAAACCACCTCGAGAACATCATCTCCGACACGACATCGACCCTCGACATTCTCTCCTCCCTCTCCGAATCCTTCAAGATCGTTGAAGCCCAGACGAACGCTTTCCGTACACAATGCGAAGGTCTCATCGACGACCAGAAGCGCATTACGAAGCTCGCAGACGATATGGAGCAAAATCTACGATACTACCTCTACCTCGAACCTACCACGAAACGGCTCAATGCTCCGGGAGCAGGAAAGATTGTGCGGGGTAAAGAATTCGTGGAGATGCTGGCCAACCTGGACAGCTGCCTCGAATACATGCAGGCACATTCCAAGCATCGCGAAGCCGAAACCTACCGATCCAGATACCGACTGCTCCTGACCCGTGCCCTCACGCTCATCCGCGTCCACTTCACCGAAGCCCTTCGAGAAATTGCAGCCGATGTGTCGAAGCGGATAGCGGACAGACAACTGAACGACACCACCATGTCTGCGCTGCTGTACGCCAAATTCCGCGTCGGTGCGCCAGAGTTGAAGAGCATAGGCATTGAGATACAAAAGCGGGCAGTACTGCCGGCTGGAGCAGCGCCAGGCGGAGAAGCCGAATACCAGAGTCTAATGAACGAGCTGTACCAGAGCTACTCAGCCACCCGTGGCCGCCTCATACTTCCCATCGTTACGAAGAAGATCGGAGAGATCGCACAAGCTCCGAGCACATCGACGGATCTCGTAGCCTTTGCGCGGAGCAGCATAAGCTATATTCGTGGCATATGTTTCGACGAGTGCGACTTATGGCGAGAGTGGTTTGAGGGCGACGGCGGATTGTACGACTTCCTCGAAGCTGTATGCGAGCCTCTGTACGACTACCTACGGCCGCGCACTATCCACGAGACACAAATACTCAAGCTCTGCGAACTCTGCACGCTGATACAGACACGATACATGGAGGAAGAGGAAGAAGAGTCGCCTGTTGAGGCGAACAAGCTGGACTTTTCTGTCATTGTACACCCCGCACTGCAAGATGCACAAAACCGATTGGTTTTCCTGTCGCTTGCGATCCTGCGAGACGACATAGAGAGATACAAGCCTAAACCAGAAGATCTCGATTATCCAGCAAAGAACAAGAAGCACGCCACTTCCGGGACAAAGTCGAACCAACCCGTCTTGTCTGGCAAGAAGCAGCCCAAGTCCGAGGTCCCGCCCACCCCTTTGATGCCAAAGACGCCCACAATAGTCGAAGACGACGATCCAGATGCGCGGTGGAACTTCAATACCGAAGCGGCGTTCAAAGACTGGTACCCTACATTGCGCAAAGCGATTTGGTTGCTCAGCAAGATCTACAGGCTTGTTCATGTGAGTCCTTGAATGCGCGCATACCCTTCATCTTGCTAACGTGCTCCCAGTCTTCTGTATTCGATGACCTGGCTCATCACATCGTCCACAGCACCACGCTTTCACTCGCTCAAGCTAGCACGTTGCTTGCCAAATCCGCTTCGCCCACCGATGCCGCCCTTTTTCTCGTATCGCACCTCCTTCTCCTCAAACAACAAATTGTAGCTTTCGACATCGAGTTCGTCACTCCTGAGACTGAAGTCCAGTACAATTTTGCGAGTCTCACGAATACTTTCTGGGAGCTGCGTGCTCGGGGCGGCCTCTTCAACCCGCGGAATCTCGTCGGTCTTTTGATACCCAAAGTCGTAGAGAACATGTTGGATGCCAAAGCGGAAGTGGATGCACGCCTGCGCCAAGCGATTAATGACTTTACTGGTCAATTCGTCGCCAGAATGACGGCACCAATCGATACGAAGGGTAACAAAAAGGTGCCTGTGAGTGAAGCTCCTGCGCGCACGAGCAAGATCCGGCAGAATATTGAGCATGAGACGCCGTTCTTGAGATCGAAGCTGGAAGAATACATCACCGACGCTCGGACACGCGAGATGCTTGTAGCAGCTGTTATGGAATCTGTCACCCAGGCATACGAAGACTGGTACGACTCATCATACTCGCCATCTCTTTCCAACCAAAATGGAGCCAACAGGAGCGCCAAGGGCAAAGGAAGGGAAGATGGTGTGTGGGATCCGGACGTGTTTAGTGAGTGGTGCGGCAACACGTTCAAAGTTGGCACGCTAGGACTCGGCAGCATGGATGACGAACAAGAGGACTATCAAGATAATGATAGCGATGTAGACAGCATGGGTGCCACCAGCGGAAGATCAGGCACGGAAAGGACAGGAAACACGGGTTTGAGAATCAAGATGTGATAGCTCCCTGTAAGCTGAAAACAGTATGGAATATCTATAAATGCTGGTTTATGGTCGAAGCACCATCACCATGCTATCGGACAGAAGTCTACTGTGACTTCTCTCCCACAATCACTTTCCGTCGTTGCAGGTATGCTCCTCTCCTCCTTCATGTCCTCCAAAATATCCACCTCCGTTTCTGCATCGCTCTTCGACTCTAGTTCTTCCCTCTTCCATGCATTCCGCTTCTTCTGCCTCGCTTTCTGACGTCGCAGTGCGTTTCTCTCGCGGCGTTCAATCACATCGCTTTCTTCGCCTTCCTACTATGATTGATCAGCATCATCACTACCATCGTCACTTTTCAGAGGCTAAAGGCAGGAGCTTACCGAGCTAGTCTCGCCAGAATCGGTTGTCGATGCGCGAAGCGAGTCGTAGATCGAGGTTGTGCTCGATACGGAGAGCAGCTTGATCGGCGGGTATTTGGCTTCGTCCTCGGTGTCACTGGCTATTTCTGTTGCGATGTCGGAGGTGATGGAAGATGAAATGGAGGAAGAATGGGCGGATGACTCTTCGCCTTCGCTTGAATCTCGTCTTGCCCTCCCTCTTCCCTTTCGCTCTTGCGCGAGTCTCTTCCTCGTCTGTTCATTCAGTTCCTGCTGTTTTCTCGGCAACACGTCGTCGTCTCTCTTTGCTCCTAGCTTCGCGACTTTGAACACCTGTCTTTCTTCTCCTCGCTTTTGTCTGTTCGGCGACTCTCGCTCCTCAGAACTCCCACTGCTGCTACTGCTGAGGCTTTCGTGTGCCCTTGCAAGCGTTCCACCACACTGCTTCTCAAAGTTCTCTGCGACGTCAAGGACGGACTTCATCGATGCTTGTGCGGCGTTGTATGCTTTGCCCGAAAGACCAGAAACAGATAGTTGGAAGGCCATGTATGGGCGTAGTAGGTGTAGAGGCGAGTTGATGGAGCGCGTCTTGGTGTGTGCGTAGGTCTCGATATCACTCTCTGACTCACTGTCAGACCGAGTGCTACTCGCTTCTTTCCTGTAAGGCAAAGTCTTGGAGCGGGTAAGACGGGTGGCGGAAGCAGGTGGGGAGGATTTGTGTTTTTTTGCCACAGAAGCTTTTGCTATCGCTCCTTGAGCTCGTCTCTTTGGCGATTTTCTTGTCTCGTTTACTGCTGTCACATCTTCGTCTTCGTCTTCGTCTTCTTGCTTGATATTCACGGTGCTGTCTTCTATGTCGATGTCGCGCGAGTACCCTATCTCATCCTTGTCATATTCGACGGATACTGTCGATGCACGGAGTGACCCAACTGTAGACCCGCGTCCCGGTGTCACTCTGGTGATGGTGTTGCGGGAAGGAAGTCTGGGACGCGCTTTGCAGGCTCGGGTTCGTGCCATGATGAGACTTCGAGTGGTGTATCAATAGATCTCGGGAGAGTGCTCGGAGGGGTAGACAGGTGTCTTGCTTATGGGGTTACAACTTAAGAGATGGCATCGGTTCATTGAGATAATGAGTGCTAAAGGCGAGATGCAAAGCAATTGTTTGTCTATAATGCAAGTGTGCAACACAGAAAGAACGTCAAAGAAGTGGCGGGGACGACTTGAGGACAGTTTGAAGCAACGTTCATTCCTAGCAAACTTTTGGTCTAGGACATTATTCCTGGGTAAAAAAAGGCACTAAAGATGGCTAAAATCCTTGTCGCATTCCGCAACGATGTATCCAAAAGTATTTCTGGCACGAAGGAATTGGAATCATAATACGATAGAAATATCATTACTGTAGTAGTGTAAATGCGTAGGGCAATTCTAAAGACTAAATGCATAACGCCGATCCCATGCAGAGAGAAAGAGGTCAACTATGTGATGCGAAAATTGAAATATGCAGAAAGAGACCGTCGTTAATATCAACTGTAGTCACCACGCTGCCCGTGCCACATGCAGCAGATTCCACCAGGTGCTCACAAAGGCACAATCGAGCCACCCTGAGAAGCAAGCGGGTCAACAGAAGGCTGTTTGGTGACGGTGTTGACCGCATTCTCTTTGTACTTTGCAAGCGTCTTATCGGAGTTGAAGTTCTGGTTGATAACACCGCTCATTCCTTTCTGGCAGTGATTGCCGTTTGTCTGAGAGCAGTAGTACCAGATCGGGTTCCTGTCCTGCACCGTAAAGGTAAAGACGTTTGGTGCTTCACCCGCGGTGGTGTTGAAGTTGAAGCCAGAGAAGATGGAGTTGTCGCCGCCAAGAGGCTCGCATGGCTTGTCGAACGAGGACTGCACGAAAGTGTGCGCCTTGGGGAGAAAGTGGAACTCCATGAGATCGCCAGGTTCTGCGACAACGTTTTCGGGCTCGAAATGTAGGCCGCCGTTGGCAGTTGTGGATCCGGCGAAGATGCGGTGGACTACTCCGGTAGGCCGGACTGGCTGTGCTGGCACGGCGATGGTGAGGCCGACGAGGGCAGCGGCTGTCAAGGCGAGAGATGTGAAGGCAACCATGTTGTCTGATGAGTTTATCTGTTGATGCTGTAGGAGTGGCGATCTGGCAAGGTAGCGACTAAAGCGACGATGACTCGGAAGCACAGACGAGCTATGAAATGCTATCGATGATAATAAGACCGTGGATGCTGTGAAGAGAATAGTTTGATGTGGAAGATGTGATGTAGATGTAATGATGAAGAAGCTGTGAAGAAGGTGATGTATTGATGATGAGATGAACTTGACAGGCAAGAGTTTCTCTAGATATATACTCGTCTGGCGAGATTGATCACAAATCAGAGGCTGCTGATGTTCTACACATAGCCCTCGGTTGGTGAAATTGCCGTTTGATGGTAAGCTGTATCCTTCGTCAGTGCAGTGTCGCATCAGGCCCTCCACACGACCAGAATGCGGAGAATAGTATGACAGGATGCCTAAGATAGACAGGTCACAACTCGCAAAGGCCATCTCGGATAGAAAACGTTCCAGCGTTTGCTAAACACAGCTCCAATAAGCGTCCAGCAACCCTGCCACTGCGGCTGAAATAGCTGACCTAGGGCGTGGCTTAGCCCCACCGCGAGAAACAACGAACAGCGCAATCGTCAGCATTTTACTACTAGGCCTCGACTAAGTCCACTGTAGAGGGTATTCCGGGCGTAATCACAACATTCGCTGCAGCTCGTAGTGTTGGTTGATGCTCATTGAACATGTTCCGCATGCGCCTTTACGACGGTGACCCACATGTCGACGCCTAGCAGCAATGGACGATGGAAACTCCACACAGGTCCAACAGCTGAGTACTGTGCCACAGTATGACATTCCTCCCGTCCGCTAGATGGTCTTGGTCTTGTCTGTAATTGTTGGCTATTTTCGGTTTTAGGTGAGCGCTTATAGATCTGTGATGGGCGGCCCTTTCGAAAACCAAGTAGGTACATGCCGAGACGCCTCTTCGCCGCTCAAGACCGCATTCCAGGACCCGAAACAGTGTCGCTCGCGCGTTATTATTTCCGGCGCGTATTACGCGATGCCCCAAGGTTCGGGGCTGGTGATGTTGCGGCGGAAGTCCGGGTCGTGGTAGAATCGGCCACGCGGCGCGCACGCGAAAGTGGACCTTCTGGGAGCGATCTGGCTTTGCCTACCTGGGTAACGTCCGTGCACGAGGCTCGTACCAAGAATACCACCATTAGTACTGATGTATCTGTATAGCTTCAACCTTTTGTTTCTTAGTCATCGATCTTGTCCCGAACTCGCGTAAGGTACTTTCAGAATGCTAGAGCGAATGCCTAGTAGATGCGCTGATCCTGTCCCCATGGATGATCTGTGGAGGCCGCTAGCGAGCTGCCGTCAAGAAACACGGTGAAGTCTTAGTCGAACTCGTGAAGGCGGGGCATATTTCGTCAAGACGGTGGTGAATGGTGGTATATCTTTTCTCGGGCGCGAAAAAGGATATGAAGACAGCGGTGAACTAGAAGATCTGGCGGTCAAGAGTCTTGTTAATACATCCTTGGGGTGACCTGGACCGAAAAAGCAGAAAAGCCGCGCTGCGAGGTTCCACACCACCACAACACTGTAGTGGTGTGCACAGAGAGAATTGCTTTGCCAGATCCTGCATTGCAGTAGTAATGGAAGACTCTAGCGAGAATGGAGGTGGTGTAAAATTTCATTATTTTCTTCTTTCAAGAAGAACGCCAATACATGCTAGCTCGTGACTGCGGAAAATATCCAAAGAAAACATGCTCTATCAAAGACAACACGCTTACATGCAAGCAGCGCCGTCAATGCCAATGACCTTTCCGTTGACCCAGTCACCATCTTGGGAAGCAAGGAAGCAGACGACGCGGGCAATGTCTACTGGCTGACCAACACGGTTGTGAGGGGACCATGTGCATGCGTACTCGTCGACTTGGTCGTCGCTGAGCTTGTCACCATCGGGAATGTACTCGCGGCAGACGGCGTGGTACATGTCGGTCTTGATGCCACCGGGTGCAACACAGTTGACGGTGATCCTCTTCTCGCCGGCATCTAGGTTGGGTCAGTAGATGAAGTGGAAGTGAGCATGATGTGACTTACCGATAGCCATGCACCTAGTGAATGTCTCAATGGCTCCCTTTGAGCCGGAGTAGACAGCGTGCTTGGGTACGCCCTTAGCCTGACCGGTGATGGATCCCATAAGGATGATGCGACCACCCATCTCCATCCTCTTGTAAGCCGCCTTAGCGACGAAGAACTGGCCACGGGTGTTGATGGTGAAGACACGGTCGAACTCCTCGGGTGTGACGTCCTTGAAGTGACCGAAAGAGACAACACCGGAGTTGGAGCAGCAGATGTCGAGCTTGCCGAAGTGGGCAACAACGTCGTCCATCAGCTTCTCAGACTCCTCGACGTTGCCAACGTTGGCCTTGAAGGCAGCGGCGTCTGAGCCATTGCCGAGTGCCTTGATCTCCTTGACGACTGCCTCAGCACCCTCGACGGCGTTGGCGTAGTTGACGGCGACCTTTGCGCCACGCTTGGCGAGCTCAATAGCCATCGCCTTTCCGATACCACGGCCTACATGTTTGTTAGTATGGGAGGTGAAGCTTGGGTATGATGAAGCTTACCTGAGCCGGTAACAACGGCGACCTTGCCAGCAAGGCTCCATGTCTGCTCAATTGATGCCATTTTTGATGTGTTGAGGTTTTGAGGTGTTGAGTTGAGGAGTGTGAAGGTGTTTGTAGTAGTGATGAGAGTGGTTGTGATGATGATAATTCCCTTCCACGGTCAAGACGAGTACATATATACCCTTTCGCTATTCGGAACGCCAGCGGAGACCGCGTTCAGTGAGTAGCTCTTTTCCATCTGCTCCACCACCGGTATCCCAACATCCATACCACTCCCCCAACTCGAAGCGTCCGGTTCGGCACTCAGCATCGCCCCCAGGAGTCGTGAGTCCTAGGGCTGAAACTGTGTACCTGCGCCGCATCTGTCCCGTAGCGTGGTCCCTGTCCCCGTAGGAGAGCCTGAGCCTCAGGGACAGACCGTCGGACAGAGGGGCCGAAGGGGGCAGGAGCGCTTGCGATTGGACAATTCCCACGAGCTGCGAGGGCCGACCGAGCAACACCAAACTTCCAGCGCCTCTCGTGCAGCACGCACCCGTTTCACGAGATCGAAACATCTTTTTTTGTCCACCGCGAGTAATGCTGGCATCTCATTGAGTTCTGCTGGTGAAGCACCAGGTATGACGCTGCGAAGACTCGCGTTTGATAGTGACAACGAATCGCGAGGCTGATGCGACACCGGCGGCATCGAAACATCTATTTTCGCATCCTCGCATGTCCACCATCAGCCGAGAGTCTTTGCTGGGAGCTCGTTGCTTCGTGATGTGACGCGAACAGATTCGAACGTCGCTGCGACGACTCGGTCCGTCGTGGGTAAGCCCAGGACCATAGGGTTCTGAAGATCCGACACGGTCATGTGACGTTCTGGGACAAACTTCGGACCCCTTGGAACGGTTTAGCCTGAACTCGCTCAGGGTTCGGCAGGACTCCGACGCTTCTCAGCACACCCGTGTACTGGAACCTCAATGGCTCCCCATACACCAACGGTCATCATGACTCCCTGAGTGCCGTAGAGTCCGGACTCGACCCGGTAAATGGAAGTGTGTTACAAGTCGGCCAAGCGTGGCTAGGTGTCGCAATCAGAAATGGGTGCTGCCGGCTTCCACAGCGGGGATCCGTCGACAAAACGTCCGTGCGTTTTTCACTTCACTTCATCTTCCAACTGCTGTACCGTCGGGAAGGATGGAGTGTTCCAAACGGTGGGCAACGAGCTGTGAGCGTTCTCATCTCGAGTACGAGATGTTGAAGATAAGGAACCTGCGCACAGATTAATAAAGAGTCCATATACGAGCGACCATAACCGAGCACGTACACCGACGATGCATGCCAGTCT